TGTTCTACTACTTGGCTATCAAAGAGAATAAGTTGCTTCCATCAATTTTCACTTCTAAAGCCTCTCGCATTGGTAATAGAAAGCTACAAGGGATCAATAGTAAGGTCAAAGTTAAATGAATACTATATCAAAATTATAGATCCATTATTATATATTAGGTGGACCAACTCTTCCCATTGATATATCTACATTTAATTTTTTTTTTTTTAAACTTGTCATATTCACAACCAAGTTTTGAGAACATGATATCAAGATAATGTCCTGATCTTGACAGGACACAACATGGCCCCTTGCATACACAAGTGTTACTTATGGATTGATTTACTTTATGTACGCTGTGTAAAAATCCACATCACATAAAGCCTGTGACATTACATACTCCATTTAACCCCTTCACATAGAATAGGTCAAAATGTGCATGTCACAACTTTTTTGCAGAGTTACATTCAGAAGTTGAACTACTTTATTATCAATGTATATGAATGAATTTGGCATGAAAACATAGTCAATAAATAAAATCTTAATATAAGTTTTAAGTTCGTAATTTTATAAAGAAATATTTAAAAAATCCCCAATCTAACCTAGTATGCTCTCTGGACTTTTCCTCTTTATTTATTTACCACCTCTTCGAGAATTAATGTAAGTTACTTATTATAATATAGATATTACTCAGGCAAAGCATAATTTTTATAGACTTCAGTCTTATTTGTTTATGGAGCAATAAACTATAAAATGAGACCCTCTTGCTACACCCATCTGTCACGTCCTCTCTTTCACAAAGTGCCAATAGTTCTCTCTGATGTTTTATGTTATATTATTTATAACTGATAGAAAGCCAAAGTTTTAATATATCAAATGAAATATTATATTACATCGTTCAGTTTCAAATTTTTTTTCTTACAAGCATCACATCGACGAGCTAAACTGAATTTTTAAAGGCTTTTATCGCTTAGTTAGAAAGCCAGAAAAATTATAATAGTCATAGGACATTGTTTGCTTTTTGTGTGTTATCAATCTACGTTCTTAGGTGCATTATTTAACTAAATACAAAATTTAGTGTAAAATTAGGTTAAAAAGTAGGTTTACATTTCATTGACAGTCAACTGCAAAAAAAAAAAAGAAGCATCAGGTAAATACTATATTTCTTGTTGTTCATGTGTATTCATTATTTAATGTTATAAAAGTAACTAAAAGTGTAAAAATTGTTAAGTTAGGAAAGATGATAAAAATTATTCACAAGGTATGTTTGTGAGCAGTTTATGTGTTAGATAATTCAGTGCGACAATGGGAGCTGCATGTTTGCTGAGTGATTTACTACTTGTGTGGTGGGATTATTAGTTAGATGCAGTTCAGAGGTCAATAAAATATAAGTATAAACAGGTGTATACTGTTACCAGCTCTAAGATATTTTGGATAAACAATTGTAGTTTCCTGTTACAGATTGCAGTCATTCTTGAAAGAAAAATAAGTAATTTATATTTACTTCATATTTTTATGGTGGTTATGAGGTTGACCATATATATAGAATATATAGTTTTACAAAAATAAAACGTTTGATATTTATTTAGTAGTTTTTAGAGATTATGCAAATGAAATTGAAAATTTTCAGATGAAGAAAATATTTTCAATCTTAACATGAAAATCACTTTATGCTCGGAGCAGTCAACATTCTGACTTCATGTATTCATCAACAAGGTTGTAGTAAAAATACTTAATTAAAAATTATGATTTTTAGTCTGTCAAGAACTTGTAATGTTTACTGTAAGCTTGCAAAGTTTTGTAAAGATAAATTAAGTACTTTCAGAGTTATAGTATGTATAGCTTCATGGTTACATGGTGGTTGTAAAATCATGTTAAATACATTGCAAGATGGTTAAAATTGTATGCAAACTGTTACTCTTTAGTTAGCTGCATTAAAAACTGTATGTGAGTCTACAGGTTTTGTTCTGTGTAACACAGTTTCTGAAACTTTGATGGTCAAACATAATGAGAATTAAAAAGAAAGAAAAACGTTATTAGATATTTCAGTAGAAATCATTGTTTATATTTCTATTATTATATGATCCTTTATAAGCATTATTAGATTAATATTATTTTTACCATTGTAATTTTATTTTACTATTATACCATGTTTATCTTTGGTAGCTGTAGTAACTTACTTAATCTAACTGTAACATAATAGAAGTACTCTAAATACATTGAAATTATCAAAAATAAACAGCATTAGCCCCTAATACCTCATATTACGTGCTCTTATATCTTTGTATATTTCATTGTTTGTGGCTGTAATTATAACACATGGCCATTCATTTTCACATGAAAGCTGTAGTTTTTTCATTGTGACTGCTAGATGTACTTTGGTTGATATTAATAAAATAAATGAGAAGAATTCTTGATATAATGAACATTATGCATCCTTCTTCCCCACAACCATGAAAAGTTGGTATAGTAATGGGAGGTCACAACTTGAATCATGCATTCTTTAACTTGTAATGTGCAGTTACATTTCTTTTTATGTAAGAAGTCAATTTCATGACAGATGAAATTAATCTCAAAAAGTTTTGTAATGTAATTAAACTCTCAGTATTTCTGTAAATAGAGAAGCATTCAAGAAATGTTTTTCCTGCTGAAGTATTTGTGACACTGATTAACATTTCACTCATTACACTAAATTTTTCTAATATTCAGTTAATTAAAGATACCATATTATCTATATAGTTAAAAGAGTAATCTCTGTGCTTGCATAGAAAGCTTTTTAAACTTCATTAAAATGTACAAAAATGAAATTAGGAGAAGGGAAATATGGATGACATCACCATGTGTGAAAAAGAGGGGTGAGTGTAAATAATACTATGCATAGAAAAGGGAAAGGTATTTGGAGAATGAATCTGTTCTTTCTCAGAGCCCCATCCCAGACATCAGTGTTTGTATTAATCCTGTCTCTACGGGTCTTCCTATGGTAACAGGTCAAAGGCCATGAAATTGCATTTGGAGACTCACATTCAAAATTTGATTGAACTGTTATTTTATAAATCTATATCAATAAGTTTGGTATTAATTTGTAGATTATAATTCAACTTTTAGTATGATCAATTAGTTAATTTCATAATTTAAAAGTAAATATTAAAAAATAAATCCTAAATATTGATTTTTTTTGTGTGATGTGGTATGTTGAATGCAGCATTGGTTCAAATTAGTTGTTTTTGATGTCCAAATTCAAAGTCTATAGTTTCTTACAAATGAGGAACTTAATTTACTGGTATTGAAAAAGCTAGAATCTAAAATAAGAACCTCCTGTCTATTTGCTGAGGTATCACTAAGTTTACTGAATCAAATACAGTAGCCCCACCCACCTCTTTCCATTTTTGAAAACACTTGCTTATGTACACTTACTTTTGTCTATGATGTGTGAATAACCAATCAAAAGCTCAGAATGTCCCCCAAGTGGTTCTCTAAGCCTTTGCAAAGCATTTACATGGAAAATCCTGTCTTTTCGTGGCAGATTTCAAACAATAAGGTAAGTCTTTAGTGGGCTCAAAATGTTATATTTCTTTAGACCCAAATATAGCTTAGTTACTAAGTTTGGTAAATTATAGTGGAATTCTATGGTATTGATATAGTAATTTATGATTTTTGGTTGTGTCAAAATGTATATATAAAATGTAAAAAAAATTATTTCATTTCACATCCTTCATGTGCGAAATTTGATAAGGCTTAGCAACCTATGGCAAGCAGCAAACGAGTTCATAGTTCATAACTAGAAGAGATAATTATTTTCTATAATTCTTTATTTACTGTTCTATGTTTTAAGAAAAGTAACTGAAATGTAAGAGCTTGTTTTAAATAGTAATAATGTAAATACATATATAATGTATTAAAACTAAAATGTGACTGTATTTTACAAAATACTAGTCCACTAAAACACAGCCAAGACAAGTCACTTTGTAAAGGCCAGTTTTATATTCTTGGATAAGGTAACATGAGTGCACATGTGCCGTGTCATTGTAACTTCAATAATGTTAGCCAGGCACGGCTGAAAGGTCAATATAATAAAAATAATATATATGTATAATGCTGTGAAATTTAATCTGAACATTTGTGTTTTCATGTTGTAATTTGTAGTTTTTCTAGAATAAAAAAAATCATAATTTATATTTACTTTCAAATTTTTTTATCGAGGTTATGAGTCAGTCAAATTGAACCAACTTGTACAGAGATACAGTAGTGAAAATAACAGATAAAATATAAAGTTTTTTCTAAAAAAAAATGTATAATTATTTGGAGGTTATAAAGATTTCACATGTGAAATTTAAAAATGTTCTAATGCATAAAAGTATTTTTAATATTATGTTGCATGTTGGATAGTCAATATTCTGAAAGAAAAATTTTATGAGAAAGCTGTGTAATGTTTACCAATAACCTACAAAATTTTGTAAAGATGTGCATACATTATCAAAAATCATAGCATAATTACTCTCATGGATACTTTCATGGTTACAAGCTGGGTGGATTCCATCCAGCCCGTAATGGCTTTGAATGTGATTTTTTTTCATTTGTTTTTATATACTTAAGAGTACCAGTACCTTGACTGTTAAGTTTTAGTTCTTGCCCCAGATATCCAGGATTTGAATGTATCACTAGATCTAGTGTTTCTCTTACTAGACAAGTCAATCATTTTTGACCAGACTGTTTGGCTCAAAGTGTCTTATGTACTACAGGTTTTTGGTGGGTATCACATGTTGTGCAATAGATTTAACCTAGCTGTCATTGAGACATTCTGCATGGTCATCAGATTTCTTCAGAACTCAGTTCACCTAACCTCTTACATAAGTAGTTTAGACAGGTCACTTAATTACTTTAAATACACAGCATTGCCTTTACATTTTATAAAATCTGTGCATTCAACTACAAAATACCAATTAAAATAAACATTTTAGGTTGTTAGTTCCTGTTTCTAATCTTCTTTACACATTAAAACATTTTTGTTTTACTATTTGTAGTCAGCTCACATAACCTACAGCAATGGATCAGGAATGGTTATGGATGAGTACCCATGGGCTGTTGGAAGAAAACTACAAACCCTACATCTTAATGACAAACAGGTACATGAGATAGTTGTACCTACATGTTCTTACCGTATGGGAACAGAGAATATTGGCTATGGAGCAACAGTGCTAGGTAAGCTAAATTAATTATTTTTTGTACTATTTTTACTACACAAGTCTGTTGACTGTCTAGCTGTACTACTACTACACAGAAGTCTGCTGACTGCAGCTGTACTACTACTACTACACAGAGTTCTGCTGACTGTGTAGCAGTACTACTACTACACAGAGGTCTGCTGACTGTGTAGCAGTACTACTACACATAAGTCTGTTGATTATGTTTCTTTATTATTACGCAAAGAGCTGTTAAATGTAACTTTCTTATTACATAAAGGTTTGTTGACTCTAGTTGTATTGCTACATAAGCATCTGTTGACTTTGCAGTTGTAAAACTACTTAAAGTACTGATAAGTGTGTAACTGTACTATTACTTCTGGTACATAAACGCTAGCTGACCATAATGTTTACTACTGCATTTAGATCTTGTAACTTAATAGCTTTATTACACCAGAAAGATATGTTGAATTTAGCCGTACTGCTATTCAACTGACTGTTTACTATTAATAAACTCTTCCAGAACAGTTTATTTAAGATTAGAATTTATAATTTTGTTTATTCATGAGAAGACAAAACCACTGCTATAAAATAATTTCATAACCCATCAGTTAATTTTAATGCACATCAGGCATGTGATATGAAATGCAAATTATTGGTTATCCATTATGCACTCCTAAATATGTACTTTGAATAAATATATTTACATCTTTACAGTTCATTACATTTCATATCAATATGGAGTGTGGTAATCATGAATAACTAGGTCATCATGGCACTGATTTTGCATGCTTGATATTAGAGTATTGATAAGTTCTTGAGGTATCTTTGACCACTACCCAAAAATATCTTCTTTAGTTTCTGAAGTCACATAAGAGGATGCTACTCATTTCCTAAACAAATCCAAAACATTATTGATAGAATAAATCCATACTTTTTGGCTAAACTTCTCTTTTCCAAGGAAGGTATCAAGCAGTTTATGAAAGTGAGGAAGATGGATGTCATTCATTAGACTGAAGTTAGGGCCGATTGCACCAGCACATCGAAGCACAAAAAACATAGGAAAGAAGGCCAGTTGCACCAGCATATCAAAGTACAAACACCATAGAATATAGAGCCAATTGCACCAATTTATTGAAGCACAAATTCCATAAATTAATGCATATATGGTGAGGGTCAAAGTGTGTATGTCACAACCTCTTTTACACAGTTATATTCTAAATTTAATAAGCAACTTTATTATTAATGTATGCTATAAAACTTGGCATAAAACAGTTTATAATTCAATGTTTCATATTATCTAAGGTTTAACTTGCTCATGCCAAAGGAAATATTTAAGTAAGAGCTCTTACTATTGATTTCCTTATGTTGCATGGTGCATCTCCCATGTGTTTCTCTTATTTAATATTTTCTTCATTCCCTTGAAAGGCTGTCGGAGAGGCTAACCAATCAGATACTCAAATTACAGTTACTGGCAGGTCATAATTTAAAATGTAAACCTCCAACCTTCTCAATTTTAGTGAGATATAGATATATATATTTGTGACATCCACCATTAAGGCTTTTCCCTTCTGGTAATAGCTTTGACACATGAACATTTAAAATATTTTGGACCACCAACATTGGGACCAAAAGTAGTCCTACAGTGCTTTGTCAGTTGACAGCAGAAGGTTTGAACTCAAAATGTAAGAAACATTAGCTTAGATAAGAAAACTTAAATGAAAAACATTAAGTAAAAAAATACCTCATTACAGTCAGTATTGCAGCATGCTATATGCAAGGGAAGCATGTTTGTAAGTTATTTGTGTAATTTTTGTTACATTCCAGAAATTAAAAATGGGTAATTTAAATTTATTTCATATTTTTCAACTTTTCATTTTGCCCTATATTGCTGATTGCACTACAATTAGTGTTAGGGTGGAGAGAATAACAGATCAGATATAAAGTTTTACTGAAAAAAAGGCATTCATTTAAGAGGTTATGCAATACGAAAACTGTAAGATGAAGGAAGAATAGGTATTTTTATTCTTAACATGAAAATCACCATGAACTCAGATTATAGTCAGAGTTTCAGCCAGAATGACTCAATAAATTCTCAGGCAAATGTTCACTAGAAATATTTTATTAAAATTTTGATATTTTTTTATTTACAACATACATGTAATGCTTACTAAAATCCTACCAATTTTCCTGAAGATAGACGTAGTAAATTCAGAATTATAGTAAACATTGATATGTATATCTTCATAGAAATTTGGTTCATGTAAAGCACCAATGCCATTCACACAGGGTTTAAAGTACAGTCATTTAGGATATAGGCAATACACCTATCCACAACATTATATTTCTCTTTGAAGATAGCGTCAAATCTGGCTTCAGGTTCACTTCAGATGAGCATATTTTTGTTATCTGGTTGCAGGTTGAAATTTGATTTATTATTAAAGAGAATATTACCACTTGTTTGTTGCTGGGCACGTTCTTGTCACCTTTGTGAGCAAAATGTTTTGCCCCTTGCTTTGAGTGGAATGGACCTCATTGGGCATTTGACATGTATGCCAGCCTAATTAAGCCTTTTTCTAATCAATGCCCACTCGTGGCTGAAAGCACCTGATTCAGTCTCAGACAAAGTCCCCTACAATTGCAATAAGCCAAAACTGACGGACAGTGGTCATCTGTTTGTGTTTTGAGTAACTGTTGACCTTGTTCAGGCATCCTAGCAACTGTACCATTTGGTTTGGAAGTGGGTCCACATTCTGTTAATGATAATCTGAGGCAGTGGTAGCTATTTTTCAATAGCCTGCTTTGATTTGCTAGTTTCTGTTAACATGAACATCTCTGAACTCCATCTATGGTTCAGAAATGGTTTGATTAATTAAAACTCTGTGATTTGTTTTAAACAATATTAAAACAAGATTGAGAGAACAAAATTTGTTGACTGTATAGTTGTTCTTGTACAAAAAGAATTACTATATTTTGCTGGTCCACTACATAAAGATATGAGGTAAGGTTTATTGAGCATTTTAGAGTATACTGCTACATAGAGATCTCATTCTAATGGTGCTACTACATAAAAGTGTGTTGACTGTGTAGCTGTGCTATTAAATATGATTTGTTGAATAAGTAGCTTTACTACTGTATACAAGTCTCTTTGACCTCGCATAGCTAAGCTTGCATGTAATGGCCTATTTGCTCAACCAAAATATATTTCCTTATACTTTTTAAAATAAGATTATTGGAGGTCAATTAAAAACAGTTAACAAAGCAGGAATTTTGATTATCTTTTGGTGATTGGAAATATTTCTTTCCATCTTCTTTTTTTTTAGGAATAAAAAATTAGTACAGTTAAAATACTTTAAGTATCATATCTAATTGGACGGGTTTCTTTAATGGGAACTAGAAAATGTAAATAGATTAATATGAGCATGTTAACTGATGTTTGTAGATGTGTTAGATCCGTTGATTGAAATTTAGCATCACAAAGTACTAGTTATCTTTATTTTAAAGAGACATTGATACTATATACAGAAAAATATTTCTGTTTTATTAATAAACGTTAGTAACAAGTATGAATTAATGTTTTATTGATTAAGTAAAGTAGTTGATACAGCAAAATATCTGTTAGCCTTATATGTACAGGTTGGGTCAAAGTGCATATATCACTACCTTTTATAGAGTTACGTTGAAAATGTAATTAAAGTATTTTATTATCAATGAATATGAATAAATTTGGAATCAAAACATATTTAATAAATTAAATTTTAATATTACATATTTTATAAGGAAATATTTATAAAGCCTCAATCTCCTTCTATGAGAATTGTGACATTTGCCCTCTAAGTCTTCCCTCTAATTTATTTACCACCCCTCTGGGAAGTACATAATTTAACATAAATTAGCATTATAATATAGATATTACTGAGGCAAAGCATGATTTTTACAGCCTCCAATCTTATTTATTTATTTAGCCATTAACTAAAAAATCAGACCCACTTGCCAAGCCCATCTGTTACATTCTTACTTTCACAAATTGCCAATAGTTTTCTCTGACGTTTTATACTATATTATTTATAACTAATAGAAAGCCAAAGTTTTAATCTATCAAATTTTACTATGTTGTTTTCTTCTGTTCAAAGTATTATCTGTTTTGCCTACAGTTGAAAAATTTATCTCACAGTATTCATATCAACAAGCTTAGCTAGGTTTTCAAAGGCTCTTATCACATAGTTTGAAAGTCAGATAAATTATGATAGGACTTTGTTTGCTTTGTGCATATTATTATTCTTAGATTTGTGCATATTATTATTCTATTTAATTAAATACAAATTATCTTGTTTACTAGTACCATTAGCATGAAAAATAAAATGTAGCTTTGCTTTCATTGACAGTCAACAGCAAAAAAATGAAGAAAAAGTAAATACAATATTTCTTGTCTTTCATGTTTATTCTTTATTATTATAAAAGTAACTAATGTAAAAACTAAAACTTATTAGGTTAGATAATGTTAGATTAGGTAAGAGTATGAAAGAAAAAATTTTTTTTTTTCATGAGGTATGCTTGCGAAAGAATGAAAGAACAACTAGTGTGTTATGTGATTCAATACTGTAAATTGAATACATGTTTGCTAAGTGATGTACAACTTGTGTGGCAGGATTATTAATTGCATGGGTCAAAGTGCAATAAAATTTAAATATAAACAGATGTATACCATTACCAGCTGTAAGCTATTTACGATAAACAATTGTAGTTTCCTGTTACAGATTGCATTCATTCTAGAAAAAAAAATAAGTTATTTATATTTACTTCCTATTTTTTATGGTGGTTATGAGATTGATCAAATTGACCAGCTGCATATAGAGTTAGGATGGATAAACTAACAGATTATAAAGTTTTACAAACAAAAAACATATGATATTTATTTAGGAGTTTTTAGAGATTATGCAAATGAAATTATATCCTAATTTTTATGGTGGTAACAAGGTCAGTGTAATTAATCAACCTGTATAGAATTATAGCATAGAAAATAACAGATAAAATATAGATTTTTTTGAAGGAAGTTTTAGGGATCACACAAATTAAATTTCAAAATTTTCAATAGAAGAACAGCATTTTTATTCTTAACATGAAAATCATTTTGCCCTCAGAGCAGTGAGCACTCTGACACTGTGTAATTATTACAGAAAAGTGTTAGTAAAATATTTAATTAAAAATTCTAATTTTTTTTTTTTTGTCTACAAATGACTTTTAATGTTTACTGACAACTTGTCAAATTTCATGAAGATAGATAGATTAAGTACTTTCAACGTCATAGTATGTATATACCACCATGGTTACATGGTGGTTACAAGGTTGTGTAAAATACACGAGCCTGTTACTACAGTGTTAAACCTTGCCAAACTAATAATCTAATGAAATCTAACATAATAAGTTTCTAATTTTCACATTTTTGTTATTTTTATAATAATAAATAAAGAATACAAATGAAAAATAAGAAATATAGAACTTACCTGGGTCTTTTTTGTTCTTTGTTAATGACTATCAACAAAACTTAAGTCTACTTTTTTTGTACTGATGGTATTATAAACTAAATAATTTTTTATTTAATTAAGTACTGACCTAAGAACACAGAATAATAACATGTAAAAAACAGACAATGTTATAAAACTATCATAATTGTTATGGATTTCTAACTATGCAATAAAAGTACCTAAAATTCAGCTAAGCTCATTGATGTGTTTCCTGTGGGAATAAAGTTTGAACTGGAAATGAAATAGACAACTCTCTGTACAAAAAACAATGGAATATATTATGTCATTTGATAGATTAAAACTTTAGCTTTTCATTGGCTATAAATAATGTAGTATAACATGTTGGAGAAAGCCATTGGCAATTTGTGAAAGAGAGGGTGTGGCAAGTGAGTCTGATTTTCTAGTTTATGGCTCTATAAACAAACAAGATTGAAGATTATAAAAAAGTATGCATTGCCTGATTAATATATATATTATAATAAGTAATTTACAGTAAATTCTGTACTTCTAGGAGGGATGGTAAATAGATTAGAGAAGAGGGAAGACCTAGAGAGCAAATGTCACAGTTCTCATACTAGGAGAGATTGAGGATATTAAATTGTGTTTTATTAGTTACGTTTTGATGCCAAGTTTATTCGTATACATTGACAATAAAGTTGTTTATTTAAATTTTGAATGTAATTTTAAAAGGTTGTGACATGTGCACTCTAACCTACCCAATACAAAAGGGTTAATATCCATCAAGAGTTTGAATACAGAAAAAAGAAAGGGTTAATAAAATAAATTTCTTTTCAATTTGATTATCAGAAATGCTGGTATGGCCAGAGAAGAGATTATGCTGAATGAAAGAAATATGTTTAATTTGATATTGATTTCAGTGAAAAGTACTTTTCAGTCCTTATGGAGATATCCATAACTTTAGTGCTGTTTACTGATACGAAAATTAAGTTTCAAAAAAATATTTGAGAAGAAAAGGTTTTTCTATTTTATAGTACATTTTTGTTTTTTCCATTACTAATAGATAGTTTAATTCTTTACACCTGTGATACCAGACTTACTCTTAGAAATTTATTTTTAACAATTAATTTACACACAAAAAGTAATCCTGCTGATACACAAGCACATCACAGACTTTGGTCTTAGTTTCATCTTTAATACATATGTGTTTTGAGAATAATGGATGTGGTGGACATAGTTAAGTCATGTTTTAATATATTGGAAGTGGTTAACTGATGTATTTGTAAATTGCATGTGATTGTTACTTCTAATGACTGGAATTAGTTAACTGATGTACCTGTGATATGGAAGTGACTATAGTTCTTTGAACTGAAAATGATTAGGTGATGTATTTATTAATTGGAATTGTTTATAGATGTTTCTATTTGTCTGGAGGTGGGCAAGTGATATTTATACAAATGTAAAGTAGTTAACTGATATAATTGTGAACTGAAAGTAGTTAACTGATGTTTATGTTGATTTGAAGTAGTTAACTTGTGTTTCTTTGAAACAGAATTGGCTAACTGATATTCTTCTATACTGGAAATAAGTCATTTTTGTGACTGAATATTTATTATTTTATTTTTCTTAATGTATTACAACAATTATACTTCTGATTCTTCCAGAGCAAGATGGAACTCTGCATTACACAGTCCTGTGGCTTCCTTCTCGATTTTTACAACTATATATCTATATAACTTTGGTATTTGTTCTTGGACTAATGCTTGTATTGCTTGCAATAAGAAGACTAAGTTTTCGTAACAGATTATACACGCCTTTCCCAATGAGAGTTCAGAGAATGAAATGATATATAATTGTTAGCCTTTATATTTTTGAAGATCAAAATAATTTCAAGATCAAAATAGTAAAATATGAACTATTTTAATTTTTTATTCTGAGCTTTCTTAAAGATTTTATTCTAATATATCTAATGGATACACATTTTCTGAAATGGAGCAAGACAACAGAAATGAGGAGTTTCTATGGTACTAAACAGAAAAAAGTACTGTATATTTTTCCCAATAGTTCAAGAGCTAAATTTCAAAACATGCCTGGAAATTGATTCTATTTACTTAGCCTACTGGCAAAGGTTTGACTGTTTTATGTAATAACCTCATTCTTGGGGGTTATTACCTGCCATTTAGATAGACATAACATAAGAGCAGCACTTCTGTAACAAATCTCAAGGTTTTCAGATAAATACCTGAACCCCCTAAAATTAAACATAAAAATGTGAGCTGTGCACCAGTAACTAGATGGAAAGCAAAATTAATGCATAACCTTCCTTAAAGACACAATACACCAAATGTTTCATGCCATTTCAATTGCATTTGGTAAATAAAATACAAAATATACCACTTAAATTGTTACCCACAATCCATTTTACTTGGACAATAAACATTTGGTTGGTATCAAATTGTGTATAGAATGTCTGAAACCCATTGTTGCCTTTATTCTCATTGAAATAATATTCCAGGACTATGAAATTGACATATTTTTGAAAGTATCGCAGATGTGCCTTGAGCCTTGGTATAAAAATGAGCAAATAATGACTACAAAAGTTAAAGAAAAGGTTTATTAAAAAATTGATGAAAAACAAGACAATTGTATATTTCACAAATACATCATTTATTCACAACCATGGTTTCAGCAGTAAAGGCATCATCAGGTACAAACTGAAATGTTTTGTAACATGGTTTTATATATATGTTTAAACAAAGAACCAGAAGTGACCTTGACATTCACTTAGAGATAAGTAGGATAAGAAGTTGGTTTGGTCATTTAGAACTTTTTCTGGACATATTTTTAGATTTCTATTTATTTCCAAATTTTCTAGATTTTCTAGTTTTTCTTTATCTTTTTCACAGATATGTACAATTTTGCAGTTTTTTTCTGGATCAAATTGGTGTTTAGTTTCAATAAGGTGGGATGCAAACGTTGAATTAATTTTCCTTAATTTCCAACTTCTAGAATGTTCTTTAATTCTCATTTCTATGAAACGTTCTGTTTGACCCATATATACACTATTGTAGTCTTGACACATTAATTGGTAAACACCACTGTTGCTGTACTTTACTATTCTGCCTTTGTTGTTGCGTAACATTTTCCCTAGGTTGTTTTTACAGTAGAAGGCCAGACTGTAGATTTCGTTTTTTAGTGTGTTATATATTTTATGAAAAGGTTTTCCAGTGTTGCTCATCTTAAACCATTTGTTTTTGTTGTCGTTTGGTACAGTATGTGGATACATTGATTTTAAATTTATGGCTTTCAGTTTTTTAAACAACAATGTGTTAATTAAATTTGTTGTATAACCATAGTTAAGGGCAATTTGTTTTAGTTTTAAATTTAGTTTCATAATCTTCAGATGACAAGGATACAGTGATAAGTCTGTGTAACAAACTATGGAACACAACAAGCTTGTAAAATATCGGATGTATGATGGTATCACTATAAGTTGGTTTTCTGAAGATTTCGAAAGAATGTACGCCATTATTTATGTTAATATTTAAGTCCGAAAAATTAATGTTTCAGTTTTCAACAAATTCCATAGTAAATAGTTTACTGAAGCTTTATTGATAAACAATTCATTACATATTCACACTGCCTTGAACGACAGTGCTGCTTTCTGTAAGTACATATTTATTTCACCTTGAAACTCTTAGAAATTGGATTTGCTGTCTCAAGCCAAGATTAATATGACTGCATACAAAATATACATGACATTACTTCAAAGTTTTTGTTCAGCTAGTTTATAAAAGTATAATAATGGAGACACTTAAACTCGAAATACCACAGATAGTTCGGAAGGTTAAAGTTATTTTCATCATTAAAGTATTTGATATGTTGTCATAATATGTATGTACATTACTACTTCACTGGCTCCATAATTTACAACTCATTAAGATCAGATATAGTAAATTCCACATTAGTACAAAGTCTGTCACAGTTACACGTTTTTGCAGTGCATGGCAATATAACTTGTCTACAACTACACCTTGCCCTATTACCCTTTGAACAACTACAAACTGTAAGTTCAGTGATATTGTATGGGTCTGGTTGTCTGTACATGAGCTTTAACATCAGATTTCTTTCTCAACCAGGGAAGTTAGCTGGAGTGTTGTAGCTGTTGCATATTTCTATATATATAGCATTGATAATTGGTTCTTTTGATGTATTGAGTAGTAGAATTATCATTTGGAGGAACTTTGGTACTATCCAGATTCTTTTATGAAGCATTTGTTGTAAAGATAATTCAAGTGTGATGACCTCTGACCATAGAACATGAATTTGGCTGCTTCCATACATTCATCCACAGTTGTGGATAGGAGACATTTAAGATGATCTAAGTTTTACAGTAAGACGAAGCTGTTTTGGTGCATGATAGGCTTTTTTTTTCTTTCCTATGCTAGCTAAATTACTTGTGGGATCATACCCAGAAAGCACATGTAGACCTGGTAGAAAGTTATTGTGTAAAACCATAATTAGCTGTGCCCCCCCCCCCAAAAGAAAACTCAGACCTCACTTTTTTGACAATTGTTTGATTTTTTCTCTTGTTTCCTAGGTTGAAATCCATAAACTTAGTAATTGTAGTCTCTAAATCCCTTTTCTTCACATGTGAGGTAGGTTGAAATTTATACTCCAGCTTTTCTGATGACAGGGTGTATTTAGTTTGATAGAAGGCAATATTCGTCATGGGGATAAAATCCTTTTCCCTTGGTGTGTCCTGTAAAAACTGCATTGTCCAAATCACTCTGTTCTGGTATGATGTTACTTAGTAGTATTGCCATATAGTAGCCACCTTCCTCTTGAAATGTCATAGTTATACCATTGGCACAGTTTATATTAGTGATCACATTCCCAATAGTTAATACTGGGACCACAACTGTTGATCATCATGATAATTTCTTCAACACTTAGGTATTTTGCAACCATTTGTATAGCTAATTGCTATTTCTTGTTCAACACTCAAAACCTATCGTTCAGTTCAAGTTCTGAATCTCGTATCATTCATCAGTTTCTTTGGCCAATCTGTGTTCAGATAGGTGTTTCTGGAACATTTCAGTTAAACTGACATTCCAAAAGCCCTTTGTTCTTGCTGTCAATGTTTTCAAAGAATACCTTTGTAATGCTGCATCATAATGCCAGTGTAGGACTAGTGTCTATTTCTCTGGTAAGTGTTGGCACTGATGTATATCTTCTGTTGCATCTCTGATGAAATGTTGCCTCTAAAACAAGGTCTTCACCAATAAGTCTCTTTATCATAACAACTCATCTTTTCTGTTTTGGGCTGTGTGCATCAAAGCCTCGTATATCTAAACAGTCAAGAACTAGGTTGTTTCTTGCTCATACTTACACTTTATTTGTTGGCAGACTAGACATACTGATCAGTTTGTCACTGTCTGAGACTTTCTAGTTTGTAAGCCTGCTGTAGATAGATAGGTTTAAGCCATATGTTGTGCCATTTCACATTGGCAACTGAGAAGAAATTCATTGAAATACATCATCTTTAGCAACTTCAGTGAAGTTGATATTGACTCATCAGACCTACTCTGTACTTTTTATCCTATATTTTTGGCAATTCATGAACATGGTTTGCATTTCTTTAGTCCTAGCTTTATTCTTGAACTCTTTGTTACATCCAGATCCATCTTTAAATGGTCTTCAATTCCATAATGCTATAATTGCACCATTTATAACCACTTCCAAGTATTCCTGCAACACAGTTACAGACAGGATTAGCTTTGTGTAATGCTAACTCAGTGTTGATAAAATACATTTATATAATGCAACAAGCCTCATCCTTTATGGTTTGCTCAGTTGCTGTCTCAAATATAGAGAAACTGTGCACAAGCATATACAGAAACATGCAACAGATAAAGTAAAATCTGTTATATATACATACTAAAGTTGCTTGACTGGACTATTTGTCTGATTTAGTACTTCTATGGTTTAATGCCCATAGTTCACCAAATCATCATTTATTCATGTATATTAAATGTTTAAACTTTGGGTTTAACATAGGTTACATGTTAGTTCTCCAGTGGTTATGGTCCAGTCTGGACTGGATACCAAGGACTGGGTTGCAAGACAACAGAAACTTTTCATCAGGTTAGGTGCACTGACTGGGTTATATAACTCTAATCTGACTAAGGGACAGATAATTTTTTTAATTAATTGAAGATACAGTAGTAAAAAGCAATTAGTTTACAAAAATACCTCAGATATTTCACTGATATGGTCTGTCTATTCACTTTCAGTTTTTGCTATATAGACCTTCTTCAAAAGTCATTCTGATATATCTATTTAGAGATTTTTCACTTAAAACAATATTGTAGGACCAAAAGGTTTACAAGGTAACAACATTCAGGTGGCGCACAGTTTAATGACAGTACTGATGAAGATAATCATTAAACATGGCATCTGCTCAACTTGTGCTCACTTGGATAATTTTACTACCACCCATGTAATATTGTACTCTGTCCATTCTAAGTTCACACCCTCAAACCTTTGTCAGGTGGCAAAATAAATAGAAGTCAGTTTTAGGTCGCTAGTTTCTGGATTGTAATTTCTGTACACTTCTTAATTTCTGTATAATAAGAAATTATCTTTTTACTTTAAACTTTTGGAAAACCCAAAAGAAATAATTATGATGAAATAGTGGGTATTCTGTTCTTAATAGAAGTCTCAGGATGAAATAGAAAACTAATCATTTATAATTATTTTGTAAAAATGAATGATTTGTAGATAGAAAAAAAAAAATTCTAAAAAAAAAACTTGTACATCAGTAAGCACTTATATGAAACCATTGTAAATCAGTCAATCAATCAATCTTGGTGTCCTCAATTCTAATGGTTGACAACTATAGTTTTCCATTGCTCTATTCCTCACTGCCAAGACTGATTTTCCCCAAATAACTTTATGATTTCCAATCCATTTTCTACCTTCATTGAGTCAAGTGAAACTTCCTGCCTTTCACTCTTCTTCCTATGATTTTACTCACATAATCTCCTGTTTCCTACATACTGCCACAGTTGCATTTATGTCTTTGCACATTGTTCCAGTTCTTCATCATTATGTTTTATTTGTATAGCTGATCCTTATCATTTGTCTAGAACACAGAATTTTAAATGCTTTCAACCTTTATTTTATTTCAGTAGATGTTTCTACCCTGTAGGGTAGGATTGACCATATATAACACTTGATACTTCCTTCTTCAGTTCTTGTGTGACTTCTCACCTAAGCAATTCTTTGACATTAAAGAATGTTGATATTTGCCATTCCTATTCTTCATTTTATCCCTTTTCCAAAATCTCCATCACTACTGATGTTCACCACATATATATTTTATTCTTAAACCTTTCATGACAGAATCTCTATACTAATATTCTAAATAAAGCAGCAAACATTAACCTTTACCTCACTGCACTTAATTACTACTTTTCCAAATTCAAGTAATTTGTCTCTTTTCAGTGTTTATTTTTCTGTGCCTGTATTAAATAATAATGGAGTTTATATCTAGAATACTCAACACGAAATCCAGTTCAAAACATATTTTCACTTTTATGTGAAAATAATGCCACTAAATCTTTTATTGGAGTACTGATGGAATGTGGTATGTTAGACACAAAATATGAGTTGTTTTTCTTGTTAATGTATGTGTTTTTAATAATCTTATTTTCTTGTGTTATATGCTATATGCAGGATCATGCAACATTGACTGAGTAGAAAAGGCTAAACCTATCTATTAACATCTTCTGGTTTTACTGCATTATTTGTTAATGTCATTGATGGTAAATATATATATATATATACTATTCTAAAAAGTGTTAAAGTATATACATATTTACTAGTT